ATTCCAGGGCAGGAAATATGCCAGGGTTGCGGCTCAAACCCCAGTAGGGAGCATGCAGGAGGCAGCCAATCAATGACTCACTCTCATCATTGATGTTTCTATCTCTCTCTCTCCCTCTCCCTCTCTGAAGCCAATACAAATAATTGATTTAAAATGAAAGAGAAGTCCCGTTGACTTGCTTGTGAAATTCTGTGGAGCTGGTTATCAAGAATCTCCCACAGTAACCAGCCAAGTTCCAGCCCACCCATGCGAGCCTCAAAATCGCTCAATCCTACCTGACTCCTTCGGGAAGTCTGAAGCCCAGCCAGCCCTCCCACACGATTCCTCCTCTGCAAAGCGGGCTAATGGGCACTTCCCTACCTTTCAGGGCAATCATGCAGATAAAATAACGAGTTCAGTTTCCCAACTCCGACTGGCAAAGCTACAGGGCTTCCCACACTGCTGCCGGGGCCGTGACCCCTCCCATCGTGCTGAAAATGAAGCCGCCCCATCCCCTCCACCCTTCCCGTGGCCTCTGATGCCATCCTCCCCAACCTCGCCTTCTGTCTTACCCCCAGCCCCCAAGGGTGGCCAGTCCTCCCTTCCCCAAGGCTGCCGCAGAGGCCAGCTCCTCAGCTCTTTATCAGCTCACCTTGTGTTGTGATGTTACCCCCATCCTACAAAGGAGGCCTCAAAAAAGTCGGATTATAGAGTCATTTATTAAAGGCCGGCAGCATACCAGGGAGCAAAGCCCTCCAGATCTCGCAGCCCCAAACAGCTCGCCCCGCCTGGCTTATACGGGCAGAAAATCACAAAAGGATCCATTATATACATCTCTGGGTCTGGAATGAGGAACCTGTTTCTCGATTTTATAGAAGTGAAACTGAGCAACTTAGTTATCTAAAGTATCTACCAATCACTGAATCGACAGGAGCACCTTATCTGGGACGGACCACCGGCCAATTTAGAATGACTGTGCTGTCCGGATTCTGGGACCACTGAGTCCACAGGAGCGCACTATCTGTAGCTACTGATACAATTTAGGGTAATTGTTCTATCCTGGGGCCCAGAGGAATGTGCTTCGATGACCAGTGAGATCACAATCAATGGGCCATTCAAACCATCATCCATGGGGTATTGGGATAGCATACGTAAGTCCAGAAAATCAATAACTTTCCATTGTTTTAGCAAACACATAAGTACAGAATCCAGACAGCAGATTCTACCTGAGGTGACTGCTACCACACTTCACTTGCAGACCAGCAGCCCCTCCACCCTTCTCTGACCCCTCGTGATCAGTGGTCGGCAAACCGCGGCTCGCGAGCCACATGCGGCTCTTTGACTCCTTGAGTGTGGCTCTTCCACAAATACCACGTACCCTAATTAAGTTAATAACTATGTACCTACCTAAAAAATTTGGCTCTCAAAAGAAATTTCAATTGTTGCACTGTTGATATTTGGCTCTGCTGACCAATGAGTTTGCCGACCACTGCCTTATGTTACTTATTTTCCTTCTTAGCACTTACCACCCCCTGGCATAGCCTACAGGTATTTCTATTCATAGTCCCTCCTAATGTGTCAGCTTCAGCAGCCGCCTGGTCTGTCCTGAACTCTGTTGCACCCCCAGCGCGCGCGTGCACGCGCGCACATACACACACACACACACACACACCCACGCAACTAATATGCATTGAGCACTTGCTACATGCCAGGCACAGTTGCAAGCATTTTACATGTAGGAAATCACGTGGTCCCTTACTCTAAGGGAGGTGCCATTTTAATCCCATTTTCACTGATGAGGAGAGTGAGGCACAGAGAAGTTCAGTGACCTGCCTGAGGTCACACAGACAGGAAGTGGTAGAGCCGGGATTCACCCCTGGGCAGGTGAGATGTGAGAGTCCAGAACTCCTAACTCCGGTGCTGGTCCCTCCACTACGGTGCTCCATCACGACAAGGATGAAGGAAAACTAAGTAAAGAGGAATAAACACGCTGCTCCCTCCCCACCCCCGCTGGCCCTGCCTCAGAGACACCACTTGCCCCTGCATGGATAAAGGAAAGAGAGGCGGGAGGGGCTCACCGGGCCCTTTTGAATGGTCACCCCACAGACAGGTGGCCGTCTTCGGTTGCTTCAAATTGGCCCTTGTGGTATTACGGTTTATGCAGGCACACCTCGTCCTATTGCGCTCTCCCCACGGTGCTTCTGGATGTTGCATTTTTTTATAAATTGAAATCAAGGCCTTCCACTAGCAAAAATATGATGACTCAGCCGAAACTGGTTTGGCTCAGTGGATCGAGAGTCAGCCTGCGGACTGAAAGGTCCCAGGTTCAATTCCAGTCAAGGGCATGTACCTTGGTTGTGGGCACATCCCCAGTAGGGGGTGTGCAGGAGGCAGCTGATCGACGACTCTCTCTCATTGATGTTTCTAACTCTCTATCCCTCTTTCTTCCTCTCTGTAAAAAATCAATAAAATATATTTAAAAAAATATGACGACTCACTTTACTGCAGTGGTCTAAGGTATGCCTGTGTAAGTAAGGTCACTTCACTGGGAGTGTCTTTTTTTTTTTTTTTTTTTTTAATATGTTTTATTGATTTTTTACAGAGAGGAAGAGAGAGAGATAGAGAGCTAGAAACGTCGATGAGAGAGAAACATCGACCAGCTGCCTCTTGCACACCCCCCACCGGGGATGTGCCCGCAACCAACGTACATGCCCCTGACCGGAATCGAACCTGGGACCTTTCAGTCCGCAAACCGACACTCTACCACTGAGCCAAACCAGTTTCGGCCACTGGGAGTGTCTTATCACTTCTATTTTGTTCTAATGTTTGTTCTTTTGTTGTTGTTGTTGTTTTTGGTTAATCCTCGCCCAAAGATATTCTTTTTTCCCATTGATTTTTAGAGAGAACAGGAGGGAGGGGGAAAGACAGACAGATCGTTTGCCTCCCCGCACTCGCCCTGGGATGGAGCCTGCAACAGAGGTACATGCCCTTGATGTGAAATCAAACCTGGAACCCTTCAGTCCTCAGGCCGACGCCCTAACCAGCCAGGGTCTCATATTTGTTCTGTGGCCTCATATTCTGGAATAGCTCCAGAGCCACAGCGGGGAGACCAGTGTCTGTTATTCCCATCCAAGCCCTTCCCATCACAGCGGAGTTTATGTCACTGGGTGACTTTCCGAAGCCCTGAAGGATGGATCGGACTGGTTGCCAAGGAAACCAGCCACATGATTCAAGGTTGGAACTTTCAGCCAACCGGCCCCCTACCTCTGGTTAGAGACAGCAGCTGGAGTTGGAACCCATCAGCAATGGCCAATGATGTAATCAATCGTGCCTGTGTAATGCTGCCTCAAAAAAAACAAAACAAAACAAAACAAAAAAACCAAAAGCATGAGGGCTCCCCAGTTATTGTCTTCGTGGAGGTGCTGGGAGGGTGGTGCATCAGATAGAACATGGACATACCCCCCCCCCCCCGACCCCGAACCTACCTCCTCGGTCTCTTCCCACAGAAACCTTGCCCACCATCGCTTCTCTCTGGCTGTTCCTGAGTCTGGGTTGTATCCTTGGTCATAACTGGTAATCGAGTGAGTACCCTGTTTTCCTGAGTTCTGGGAGCCGCTCTGGCAAGTTGATCAAGCCCAAGAAGGGGGTCGTGGAGCCTGGGGGTCATAGGTGATGGGGCAGGAGCACAGGTGCACCCGGGACTGGTGCCTGGCCTTTGAAGTGCGGACAGCCCTGCGGGGCTATGTCCCCTGCCTGCGGGATCTGACGCCATCTCTGTCAGGGGCAAAGACAGAATAGTGGAGACGAGCCATCATGATAAGCAATATTAACCATGCTCTATTAACCGTGACTGCCTTGTTCTGGTTAAAGAAAGGACATCCTAACCTGGCTGGGAGTTGTACACGCCCGGGACCTGGGAGTCAACCTTGGTCTGGCAGCCAACCTTGGAACAAGGCCCATTCTCATTCAAGAACTGCCTAGTATCGCGGAAAGATGAACAACCTTGTTGCCCAAACAATGGAGCCCCGCCCCAGCCCACGCCTGTAATCCCTGCTTCCCTGTATACGCAGCGGGCTTATGGGGGGCTGCAGAGCGGCTGTTTGTGGATGGCCTGCTGCTTCCCGTGCAGCCCTGGAATAAACGCTCATATATAACTCAACCTGCTGGCTCTGCTTAACCGGCTCCAGTAGTGACAGGCAGCCCGGGCCCCTTGGGTTTCATCTCCAGGCAGGTAGCGTGGGGATTGAACTGCTCCGTGTGTAGAGAGAGAAAACCACATTTGGTGATCAGAAGTGCCACAAGCAGAAGGCTGAGAGGAGACACAGGATGGCTTTCTACCTGTGACTACCCCAGCATACAGATGGGGATACCGGACCAGGGAGGCGGAGGGAGTGTGGCAGCAGAGCACAGCAGAGGGTGGTCATGGTAGAAACCATAGGAAGGGGGGTGGGGAGGGAATACACCTGCCTCCCTCCCCTCCCACCCCGTCTCCTGTTGGTGCCTTCCCAAGGCAAACCCTGCTGCAAGGCTGAGGCGGGGGTCAGGCATGTGGCCTGCAGGGGGCAGCCTCGGGCTACAGAGCTGGGCGGACAGAGGAACTAGAGGGGTGTGTGCACATGGCTGGTCTCTCACTGCCCTCCCTCGCCAGCGCTCAATGTGGCCAAAGGGGCCACCCAACCTCCTGGTAGAGGCCACGAGGGCCACCCTCCGCCTGGCCCCCACCCCCACCCCTGGAGACAGCTTTCCAAAACACAGATCTGGCGGCCTCTCCCCACTGGTTCCAGCTTTCAGAGAATCCCCTTCCCACCGCCCACCTAGCAGGAAGTCCTTAGGACCTGGCTGCTCCCCTTCCCGCTCGCTGCACCTGCACCCCTCCACCACCCTCCACCCCCACCCCAAGTGTCAGCTCTTCTCCTACTACAGGCCTCTCCTAGGAGCTGCTGCATACCAGCTCCTAGAGCCACAAGAACAGGAAATACTCGTGAAGAGGCACAAGGACCGAGGAAAGACAGGAGAGGCAGTCAAGTGTAAAAACACAAACAGGTTTATTTATAAGCAGGAATGCTGTCCAGCAACAGTGCAAACTCTCATTGTCTTGGGATCAACACAAGCCAGGGAACTGAGGCTACATCCTGAAAGGGTCTCTCTTTAATTCATGGCTTCCCAGCTCTGCTGGGGGGGAGGGGGGGGAGGGAGAAAGAGAGAGAGAAAGGAGGCTTGAGAGCCTCCGGGAACTGTCCACCAGAGGGCAGACCTGCTCCATAACCACGCAGGGTCTAACGAGGGCAGACCCAGGAGGTTCCAGGTAGTTCGTTGGTAAGCACATCTTGATTCCACGGTGGGAAGCCTCTTGTGTCTCCATGGCAATTCCTGGACTCTCCGGCTCTCTAAAAGTTCAGCTGCAAAGTTCAAGTCTTTTTCAACAAAGATCCAAGTACCACAGACTCGAATGGCTTCTCCAGGAGCCCCCCGTCCCTTTCCTTCCCCCTCTGCAGGCAGTGCAGTGTGTCGGGAGGGGGGAGTGGGCAGGCTCTTTAACAGGAAAGAACGCCCTGGCAAAACTATTGGCTTCAGCTGCTTCACGAAGGCCGTTCAGCCGACATCAGCTACACGGACCCACAGCACACAACGCACACACTCAGACACACACACACACAGACTGGCTCTCGGCATCTCCCATCCACCTGGGATGGCGACAGGCACAGTACTGACGTGGTCCCGTGGCTCCCCGGGGGCCTGGGACTCCGGGACGGCGGGAGGAGGTGGAGGGAAACAGGAGCACCTCTCGGGAGTCCAAAAAGGAAGCCCCAGGCTGAGGTAGGAGAGACGTGGCCGCAGGAGCTGGGTCTCGGGGTCCTGAGATTCCCTGATAGGAGTGTGGCCGGGGAGCCCACAGCAGACGGCGCAGGAGGGCGGGCGGGCGGCGGGGCGGGTGCTCTGGGGAAGCGGGCGTGAAGGTCAGAGGCGGTGAAGGCACTCTGTGACGTCGGCTTTGTGGTGCTGCTGGCTTGTTTGCATGGCGCTTGAGGGTTGTTTTTTGTTTTTTTGGTCTTTTTAAACGGCCATGTATTGAAACTAGACTGCCTGTGAGAGGTTTGCCATCTTGCCTGGGGCAGGGCATCATCCAGGCCTCCTGCTGGGCCGCGGGGGGTCTGATTTCCACACCACGTACAGGAGGCGGGACCAGCGGGAAAGGATTTGAGGTGGTGCTTCCCCAGGGTCCTTAGCTAACCAGGGTCCCACCCGGCACAGAGCCATCTGGCTGATGGCAGCCCCTGCCCCTCTCGGACCACCCTGCAGGCTCAGCATCCAGGCTGCCCCTTCTCCATGGATGACCCCACAGTGCCCACCTCCCTCCCCCATGGCCTCTCTGGACGCCGGAACCTCCGGGGGAGCCAGAGCCCAGGGATGAAACAAGGAGTTCATAAGCCAGGGCCACAGCCCAGTGAGGGGGCAGCGAGGGGTGGCAGGGACCCCGCCGGGCTGCCCAGCAAGTCCAGGTATCCTTGGATACCCATGACCGGAGGGGTTCTCTGACTCCCCCCGCCTGCCAGGCTGCGGAGGCCACTACAGGACTTGGTCTGGAAGGAGCCAGAGTGCCGGGCGTGGGGGCCGGGAGGCCCCGAGGCCAGCTCACTCAGCAGCGCCTTGGCCCCGCCGGCCGGTTAGCTGGGCTTCGTGCCGGCCTCGGGCACGCCCAGGCTCAGGGGCTTCTCCTCCAGGCTCTGCCGCAGGGTCCCGGGGGCCCCGCGCGGGGACCGCACAGGGCACTCCTCCTTGGAGAAGGGGACGTGCTCGTCCTTCGGGGAGCCGGAGGGGCTGTGGCCTGCGGTCCCCGCCGTGGTGCTGGCCTCGGAGGAGCACCGCGAGCCGTGCTCAGAGCCGCTGCACACGTTCACGATGCAGGTGACGTTGACGTGGGTCCCGCGGCCGCCGGGGGAGGACTCTGCAGACAGAAGAGGAGAGGGTGTCAGCCGAGGTCTCGCAGTGGGGAGGCCATCATGGCCTGGCCGCTGCCCAAAGGCCAGTTACACGTGGGAGAAAGCACGGGGCCCATTGGTGGTGGTGTTTTTTAAGAGAATTGGCCAACATTTAAAATTCAGGAATCCTATCTAATAAAAGAGTAATATTGCAGATTGACCATCACTCCAACAACAATATGGCTGCCCCCATGTGGTCAAAGATCCTGCCCCCATGTGGACACAAGATTGCCAGCAGGGGAGGGCAGTTGGGAGGGACAAGGCCTGCAAGGGAGGGCAGTTGTGGGTGATCAGACAAGTAGGGGAGGGCAGTTGGGAAGCACAAGCCTGAAAGGGAGGGCAGTTGAAGGCGATCAACACTGCAGAGGAGGGCAGTTATGGGTGACCAGACCGGCAGAGGAGGGAAGTTGGGGGCAAATGGGCTTGCAGGGGAGCAGTTAGACATCAATCAGACTGGCAGGGGAGTGGTTAGGGGGTGATCATGATGGCAGGCAGAAGTGATTAGGGGCAATCAGGAAGGCAGCCAGGCGAGCAGTTGGGAGCCAGCAGTCCTGGATTGTGAGAGGGTCCCAGATTGGAGAGAGTGCAGGCTGGGCTGAGAGACAATCCCACCCCCACCCCCTTGCACAAATTTTGTGACCGGGCCTCTAGTTAAGAATAAAATAAAATTGCACCTTTTCCAGGATTGGCTTCTCCCAATAAACTTTGGTTCCATTAAAAACAAAAAATGAATAAAATAAAATTCATGAATTTACGTGTTTAAAATCTCATTTATGGCTTCCCTTGGAGCCAGATGTGAGCGATCTGGCCATGGAGGGTCCCCACACCTGAATGCAACTGGCAGGAAGGACTTCCGGCCACAGGCTCGCCCCACTTCCGCCCACCCCGTGGGCATCTGAGTTTCCTAGCCAGGCAGCGTGGGACAGAATGATGGAGGAGCCAGGAGATGAATGTAAGGGATCGGAGGCACAGGAGCCTCTCACAAGGTGACGGCTGCTGCTGGGACTGTGGGGACCTGCTGAGCATAGGCCGGTGTGGTGCCAGGAGCGCAAGGGGGACTGGCTGGCTCTTCTCCATCTCCCCCCAGCCCAGTCCAGCCCCCCAACCCCAGGGCATCTGAGACGAGGTCAGAGCTGGTGAGCTCGCATTCAGAACAACCCCAAAGAGGCCAGAGCAAGGCAGGGCTGAACTCGGGGCCAGAAGGAAATTTCCACCTGCGTCTGCACGGCACCCAAATGTCACCCAGGTCACCATGGCCTTTGCACACGGTGAGCGAGACACGCCGGGGGCGGATGGGGGACCACAAGGGGCGCAGTGCGGGGTTTGCCCTAACCCAGAGCGAGAGGTGCTGGTGGGTGGGAGGGACAGAGGGGATCGCAGAGGCGGGAGAGGCAGGAGAGGAACAGAGAAGGGGCAGAGGGTGGAAGGGAGGGCAGACATGGTCAGGGTCCACACGGGGGCCCAGGAGGAACCCGCACCAGGCTGGCCGTGGAAGAGGCATCACCAAGGATCACGAAGCAGGCGGGCCCCCGCCACTTACCTGAGCTCCCACCAGCCTGGGCCTCCCCGGACCCGCCGGGCTGGTCCCTGCCCGGGGCCTGCGGCTGGTTCCTGGGGGGCGGCCCCCCGTGCGGAGCGCTGGCCGCGCTCTCCAGGGAGCTGCTGCTGGAGCTGGGCGCCGTGGTCAGCAGGTGCTGCTGCTCGGAGCCGGGAGCGGCCGGGGCCTTCTCAGCGGGCAGGTGAGGCTGGAGGGAGGGAGGAGGGACAGCGGTCAGGCCTCCAGCCTGCTCCCCTCCCTCCCCCTTCCTCCTCCTCACCACCATCTGCACCGTGTCACAGCCCTTCACCATTTACGTACTTCTGCCCACACTGCGTGTTCTTTCCACACTAAGTGCCCTCGATGGTGTCTGTGACTAGCACCTGCCTGCCCTGCTGGAGTGCCAGCCCTTGTCGGGTCGGGCTCAGGGGGCCCTGTTCTCCCAGTGGTCCTCCCCTCAGAGGCGGGGCAGGACTGGCATCCTCACTTGGCATGAGGAAGTGGGGGCCCAGAGAAGGAGAGTGACTCTCCCAAGGTCACCCCCTCAGCACAGGGTGGCCAGGCCTGGCAGCCAAGAGCATGGGTTCCGGAGCCAGACCCATGGGTGCAAATCATGACTTCATCGCTCACGAGCTGTGTGACCTTGCACAAGTGACTCAGCCTCTCTGGGCCTCCGTTTTTCATCTATAAAGGGGGAATAACCACCCATCTGCTAGTGAAGACTAAATGGCTGAGTAAATGGTAAAGTGCTCAGCACAGCAGCTGTTCCACAGGAAGCTCCGTACAAGGGTTTGTGAAATCAGGGGCCACACCTTCCCCCACTGCCAAGGATGAGGGTGAGATGAGAACTGAGGCGAGGGAAGGGTTGGTGAGATGTATCTTAGCGCGGTAGAGAGAGGTGGTGGTCAGAGGGTGAGTGTTTGCTACGGGGTGGGGGACACAGGCACGTTAGACCCCCTCCCCAGGGAACAGAGACCCCAAGGGTGTGCTCTGAGCAGAGGCATAATGCCTGATCCCTCCCGGGACTGGCCAGTCACTGCAGCCCCGGCCCCCAGCCCCGCCCACACTGGCTGTGGCCTCTCCCACCTGAGCCCCGAGGAGCCCTCGATACCCTGAGGCCAGCTGGTCCCTCTGACAAGGAGGAGCCTTCTGAGGTAGCCATGGAGGCCCAGAGAGGGTGTGTCCCTGCTCTGATCACACAGCTGGTCCATGGGAGGGGCAGGACCAGCCAGAACAGTGTCCTCACGCTGGTGACTGTGTCCTGCCTCCCTGGCTCACCCCTCCCCCAGTGTTCAAGGGAAGGAGGGCATTCCTAGATTTCTAGTTCACGCTGAACTGCCCACTCCTAGCCCTGAACTGGGACGCGAGGGGGGGGGGGGGGGGGGGAGGCGCATCCAAATGTCATTCCTCACATCCCCCAGCGAAGGGGCTTTCACAGCAGAACAGAAACCCCCAAAGGTCACAGCTGCCTCCCTCCCCCACGGCCACAAGCTGCAAAGTTCAGACAGGCTCCAAGTGGGGCTGAAAAATCTTGAGTGCTGCTCCTTGGGCTGGGGCCCCAGAAACGGGGGGAGAGGGGGTTCATGCAAAAAAAAAAAAAAAAAAACCAGGATCCCCAGCCAGCCAGCTCTCCTCACCTCCCAGTCTCTCCCAGCCCAGTCCTGCCCTGGACACAAAGACCCTGGCAAAGCCACTGCTAGGTCCTCCGGACGAGGGTCCATGTCTGTCTGCATGTGTGAGTGTGCGTCCATGAAGTGCACACACCTGCATGTACAGGTGTGTGTGAAGGTATGTGAAGTGTACACACACACACGTGACTATGGGGGACATGTGTGCACGTTGGCTGAAGGTGGTGAAGACAGGCACGCCTAGGGTTGTGTCCCAGGCCACACATTAGCTGTGTGGTCTCGGGAAAGTTACCTAACAGCTCTGAACCTGGGCCGTAAAACTGGAGCAATCACCTTACCGCCTGTGTGGCAGCACGGCTGTGGGCATATGTTCAGCGCCTCATCAATGCTCGCTCTCGTTATTAAATGTGAGCGTGCACAAGTGTGTCTGGGGGGGTGACTGTGGTGAGCGCACATATGAGGGTATGCTGACCTTTCCTAAAAGAGGGGAAGCCACTGTCCCATCAGGCCTTGGGGGTCCTTCTGCAGCAGCAGGAGGGATGGGGCGGAGCTTATTCTCCGCCCCAGCAGCCTAGACCTGGGGCGAGCAGACAGCCTCATAGCAGGGACCACAGCCAACAGCCAGGGACAGAGCGGGCGCAGGCTGGGCGAGGGAGTGGGAGCCTGGGCACTGAAGGGCATCTGGGAAGGTGGCCAGCCTCTGAGGGCAGCCCTCCGGGAGGGTGGAAGGACTTGAACAGCCCTGAATGCCTGGCCCGGCCAAACCTGCAGACTCAGACTGAGTTTCCAACCTGGGCTCAGTCACTTCCCTAGCAGCCTGGCCTCATACGGGGAACAGAACCTCCTTGAATCTCAGTTTCCTCATCTGTGAAAGAGGGTGACTGTCCTGGGCACCTCACTGCAGTCAGAGCCTGGCACAGGCACTGAGCCCTGGCACAGCTCAGACCTGTGCGCCAGTCTTCCCAGGTCCACACTGGGCAGCTTGAAACTGGACAGCGAGAGTGTTTATGACACAGAACCGAGCGAACACCGCAAATCAGGGGTTCGGGGGTTTTGCCCTGCTCGGAGGGCCTGCTGCCAGCGCACCGCTCTGTACCCAACGGCACTGCAAAACAGTGGGAGCGGCGTGGCTCACGCTCGGTGAGCGCAGAGCTCTGAGGGGGAAGGGGAAGTGAGGCTGCGGGGTCACACCTGGGACACTCGCTGCAGGGGCTGTTGGGAAACACTTGGCCGGGAAGGGAAGGAGAGAGACGGCAGCTGGGCCGCTGGGAGGAGCCCGGAAGGCACTCTTGCCCTCTGTGCCACCCCTCGGCGGCTGTCAGCGTCACCGCCTGGAAGCCAGAAAGAGGAAGGAGTGGCGTTCGCACCCTTGGGGGGAGGATGAGAAAATGTCTCAACTTCCAAACCAGTGCTCCCGTCTGCGGGAATGCTGCAGAGCCGGAGCCCAGGGGCACGGTGCTGTGTGACCTGGGGCAAGTCACTTTCTCTTTGCTCCTCCACGAAATCAGGACGTGAAATCAGTCGCTGGTCCTGACCAAGTCCCAAGTCCTGTGTGAGCCTCTGGCACTGGGCTGCCCAGGGCTGAGTGGCTTCCCAGCACCGTGGCTCCCAGCCGGGGATGGCTCTGCCCTGGGTGGGGGGGTGGAGGGGGCATTAGCACTGTCTGGAGACACCTTTGGCTGTCACTCTGTGGAGGCAGTGCTGCTGCCATCCACTGGGGAGGGGTCAGCGCTATTGCTGAGCAGCCTGCAAAGCACAGGACAGCCCCCAAGGCTGAGGACCCTGCCAAGCAGGAACAGAGGGAAGGGGGGGGGGGGGACCTGGAGGAGCTCTTTCCTCGTCTGTAAAAGCAGGTATAAACCCTGCCCTGCCTACCAGATTCAGGAGTGCAGCAGCCACTGTGTACTGGCTCACCCACACCCATTTCCAAGCCCTCTCCCTTGTCTCCCTCCACCACAGAGGCTGGGAAAGTAAAGGGACTCCTTCGCAGCCAGGGATGGTCACGTGACACCTTTCAGGCCAATGAGACAAAAGGAGAAGTCTACCCAGGGCTTTTGGGAGAATGCTGATTTCCTAATAAAAGGCACCAAAGCTGGCCACGACCCCCTCTTGTGCCCACCTCAAACCTGAGGTCACAGGAAGTGGTGATCACACTCTCAGGACATGAAGCCATAAGCAATAGGACAAAAGCCAACACACTAAACATGGCGGAGCCCGGGGTCCTACTGCCTCTCAGAAGGATGCAGGTGAACTATTCCAGCAGCCATAACCCCTCGACCTCTTGGCATGGAAGAAACATAAGCCCTCTTCCTAAGTAACCCTTATGTTTTCAGTTACTCGTGGCCAAATGCCCTCCTGATGCAGAACTGGGCACAGACCCTTCTCTATATAAAAAAGATCTAAGGTGAGCTGCTTTGGTTGAAGAGGGGGGACCCAGAGCCCAGCACTCTAGCCACCGTCTCAACCCCAGAGATGACCCCCAGGCCCTTCCGTGGAACACCGGGGTACCCTGGCACTCAATTTGAAAACCACTGCTCTTTGAGGAAGTGCTTTGTAAGCACCTCAGAGATGCTGAGAATGGTTGCCAGCTGGGTGGATGGCACAGCCCTGAGCAGCACTGTCCCCGATTAATGGTGAGGAAACAGGGCTACAGGCCATTTCACGTCTGCCCAAGATCACGCCACAGGTCCATGACCACATGCTTGCCACGGACACCTCTAACCCCAGCTCCTTGCCGTGGCCTCTCGCACTCGGTCTCCTTGATCAGCCCTGGCTGGCCTTTCCTCCACTTCCCAGGGCTCAGCACACCACATGGCCCTGGACAGACCCACCCACAGAACCCACTGCTTCCTGTGGGAGCGCCGCCCCCATGGAAGGAGAACAGGGGAGGGCACTCACCTTGGCGTCTCCGGGCAGGCAGAAGGGTTTCTCTGCAAAGGGGAGAGGGGACAAGTCAGGGGCAGTGACTCCTTCGGGCCACGGCTGTTCTAACTAGGAGGGCAGCGTGGGGCCCAAGCAGCACCGGTGGGAGTAGACCCAGCCGAGTGGAAATAATTATCTACCAGACAAGGCACGCAAAGGCCCACACCCTGCCCTCCAGCTGGCTCAACACTGTTCCACTCCTTCTGTCCCCCCAACTGCTTTCCAAACTCCGCACCTTGGCTCACGCCTGTCCTCTGCTGAGCATGCCTTCCCTTCCCACACTCAGCCCCCTGCTGAATCTTACCCAGCTCAAACCCCCCTGCCCCAGAGGCCTCCTCCCCCCAGGATGCTCCACAGAATCCCAGACTCCTCCCCCTGGGACGCCCTCATGGAGCCCTGCCTGTCGGTAGCTAAGTTAGCAGAAGCGCCCTCTCCCAGGTTCTCAGCTCCTACAGCATCTACGGTACCCAGCTCTGTCTGAGCCCTGGGGCCGTGCCCAGGCCCTGACTCACAGCAGGCACCCGCTTCCCGAACGGATGGGTGAATGAACGGAGAGGGGGAAAGGGAACGGAATCTTACTTTTCTTCTGGGCCAGGATGACACAGTTCAGCAGCCCTATCATTAGCAGCCCCAAGGCTGTCACGCCCACAATGAGTCCTGGAAGGAAAGGAGACGCTCAAACCAGCTGCCAAAAGCACCCTGGCTTCTACCAGGGGCCTGGCCCGTCAGTCGGTGACCAATGATGGCTAGGGCTGTCCCAGGCGAGGGGCAAGCCCAGTCCAGAGGTCTGGCATTCAATTATACAAAACGAGCAACCCCAAAACGGTGTGCCAAACGAGCTCGAGGGCCCCCAGCCTGACAGTTCAAGCCAGGTGTGGTCCCTAACCCCAGGTGGACGTGGCCCCGCCCACTGTCTTCACAGCCTGATGGTTCATCAGAACCAACAACCAGGAAACTACCTCCTCTTTGAGATTAAAGCTGAGCCCAGCCTGGCTCCGTGGTTGAGCGTTGACCTATGAACCAGGAAGTGATAGTTCAATTCCCATAGTTCAATTCCCAGACACAGTTCAATTCACATGCCTGGGTTTCAGGCTTGATCCCCAGTGGGGGGCATGCAGGAGGCAGCCAATCATGTTTCTCTCTTATCATCGATGTTTCTCTCTCCCTCCCTCTCGCATCTTCTCTGAAATCAATAAAAACATATTTTTTTTTAGAAAGCTAAGCCTGCCTCTCTCGACTCGAGGTCTCTTGGTGACAGGACCAGGTCCTGGACGAGACGAAGTCTCACTGCCACCTGCCTCCCGGGACGCGTGCATCCAGCCCACAGCGGGCTCTCAGGGAGCCTGAGGGAGGAGGGGGAAGGATGAATGCGCCCTCCTGTGACTTACCAACTGGAAGAGAGATGTTCCCGGTGCTGAGCCCTTCGGACGGGGCACTTGGGACCACAGGGAGCAGGACAGACATGCTGGCAGCTGTGCTGGGTCCTGGCGTGGGCTCCGTGAGCTGGGATTTTGTGGACGCCGCCTGGGGCTTGAGGGCTAAGCTTGTGGTCACACGCAGGGAGGGAAGCACAGACTTGCAGACCGCGTCCCTGCTTGCGTTGCCGGGGATGGCCGTCGACTCACAGCTGCGAGAGGAGGCGGCTTGGTCAGGGGGCAGCAGAGGGCGGGGGGGTGGGGGGGGGCCGGGCCCTCTTGTGGGAGACAGCTCAGAGGGCAAGGGTCCCAGCAGCGTGGATAGGGGAGTGAGTACATGCCCTGTCATATCTTAGGACCACTCCTTCCTCTCCTCACCTGCCCCTTGTCCCCATGCTCCCCACTCAGCCTTGACTTCCAGAACAAGGCTGCTGTTCCAGGTGCTGTCCTGGGACCCGCCCGCCATGAGATGAGCCCGTGCTGGCACTGAACAGGCCTCGGCCACCCAAGGGTGCGAGTGGGAGGCACCATGACACCACCACTGTGTGTTCTAGACCCCCTCCACCCGGGGCAGCCCCTCCCTGCTCCCCCAGAACCAAGGGGCTCAGCCACTCACAACCGATGGGGCCTGCAGGTGTCTGTGGAGGACGCCGTGTCCGAGAACGTCCCTGGGGCACAGGCAGCACACACCACATTGGACGTTTCGGTTCCTTCAAGGAAAAATTGGGACCTGTCACCAACTCAGATGTTCCAGAGATGGGGGTAAAGGGGGGCCCTGGTACTGAAGCCCTAGGGGAAGTCAGAGGACCTGTGGAACCATATGCATCTACTTCCAAACACACACACACACACACACACACACACACACACACACTCACACGCACGTGCACACACTCAACTGGGAGTTTGTCCTTTAACCAATTCTAGTGACTTCCTGGTCTCGGAGTCACATGGGTTCATCTTCCTGGGGCACCACCTGATTTTCCAGCAGCTGAGGGCTTAATCTGACCCATCTCTGGATCCCCAGAGCCTAGTACACAGCAGGTGCCTAACCACGGATGATGCTCCCAGGCCAAGCTGAGGAGCTGAGGAGCGGATGCCCGTGAAGGAGAGACCCAGGAGGGACCCCGAGGCCAGCTGCTGCCCCCGTACCTGGGGTGACCACGCCGAAGCCAGGCTGGCACTTGCGCAGCGGCGCGCACTGCCGGCACCGGTGCTGGATCTTGAGCATGCAGTACCAGCCCTGCCGGCAGGCGCACACGCGGTTCTGCTTCCGGGTGCAGGCCTGAGTTTCTACCTGCTCTGGAGGGCGAGAGGGCAGAACAGGGTCATTCCTGCCTCCACCGGCCCTGCTTACTGCCAGGCCACCCTGCCCTCCCAGCCAGCCCCCCACCCGCAGACCCCTCTGCTCTCCCGCAGGCTCTGGGTCCCTGCCTTCCCCACGGGGTTCCAAGGCCCGCAGTCTTGTTCCACCCCACGGCACAAGCAAGACACGGCTCCCTCGTGGCTACGGCGGGCACAGGTCTCCCACCGCTGCTCTGGGCCGGCCTGCCTGCCCCGTGGGGTGACAGAAGGGGATTCGGTAAGACAGGATGAGAACGCCCTGGACAGGTAGCAAATGACTGTGCCCACGCAGCCTCGTGCCCCCGGCCGTGGAGGCAGCGGGTCTGGGGTACCCCACATCAGCTTTCCACCACAGGGGCTGGGGTGCGGGTGCCCAGGGGAGGATGCTGGGGACCACCCCTCACCCTGGGCCTACTCACCAGAGCTGCAGCGGGAGTCACAGCTCAGGCAGTGGGACACCCAGTTCCAGAGCTGGGTGAACATGCCATCCTCGCAGGGGGCACACACCGTGTCGGAGGTCTCGGTGCACTGGGACTGGACGTGGTAGCCTGAGAAAGCAAGGGCCGGGGTCTCAGGGGAAGTGGCTGCTGCCCGGACCCTGAGCTCATCCGCTGCGCCCCCGGAACCCCAGAGTTCGGTAGTGGAGCTGCGAAGGCTCTCGGATGGGGCCCCAACTCCTCCATCGACGCAAGTAGCAGCTGTCACGCCATCTCTGAACCCACACTGATCATTCCAGAAGCCTGGAATCCCACCATCAAAACTGCCTGCCCATCAGTCAGTCACACTTTAGTGAGAACTGGTTTGCCGGCCCCTTTCTTCTCTGCATTTGGCTAAAACTCTCCACCTGGGGCCGTCTAAGCTGAGGTCTAACAGAGAAGTAAGGGGTTTCCAGGGAAAGGGTGTTGGGAAGAGGGAACAGCATGCGCGAGGCCCCAGAAGCAAGACGGACCAGAGGGCCGATTCGTGGAACTAGAGGGAGTTCAGGAAGAATGGAGAGCTATGACCCTGCCCGCTCCGCCCTCATACACACGCTCCCTCCCGGGCACCGGCCCCAGGAGCCGGCCGGCGTGAGGGCCAGGGCCAGGGCTGCCCCTCACCAGGAGGACACTTGCTGCAGCACATCTGGATCCTCTCGTCATAGTATTCTCTCTGCTGGCACAAGCTTCCGGGCTCCGGGACGTAGGGGGTGAGCACTACCTGGAGGGGGAAGAAGAACAGCCATGAGCTTGGCCACGCCCGACACCCAGCCCCCCATCCTGTGTCCCCCAATCCCCTTCTGGGGCTCCCCGATGGATGGACCGAGGACCTGAGGACTCCTCCCTTTGGGTGGGGGCGAGGGGAAGGTAGAAGGAAGCGCCCCTGCCTCCTTTCACCTCCCCTCTTCCCCCCTCGGGGTGTCTCCCCCCTCAGTGGCGGAGACACTGAGCCAGCTGGCTGGAGGGTGAGGCTGGCCCCCACCACGACACAGGGCAGTGCCCCAAAGTGCTCAGCACACACAGTGTGGCCCTCTGCCCAGGATGCCTCCCTCTTCCTCCTTCCCGCACCTGGAAACGCCCCTTTGTCCTTCCAACCAGCTCCTGCCTCCTCTGGGAAGCCCTCCCTGCCGCCCCAGGCTGCTCCAGCGCCTCCAAACAGTCATCTCACTGTGCTGAAATGGGGTACCCACTTCTCCCATCTTGCATGGGTGCATGTGCATGTGCGTGCACGCACACACCACACACGCACACGCATGTTTGCAATGCACAGGGCAGGGGTGACGGCCTCGCTGCCTCTGGACCCTCAGCTGCCAGCGTGCAGCCGCCGGCAGAGCTGGTGCTCAGCAGATGAGCGTTTGTTGATGACAGAAACAGCAGCGACCGTTTCCCGAGGCTGCCAGGCTGCCGGGGTTGGTCTACGTGCGGCAGGTGCTAGGCGGATCCCCCGAGCGCCCACCCCCAGCCGCCACGGCGCTGCCGGGAGACCCGGCCCTGAGGGACAGAGCATGGACTCCATGGTGAAGTCCATGCTCTGTCCCTCGGCCATCCTGCTGCAGCTGGGCCCGCGGCTGGCCTCTGCATTGAGAACGGAAACCCAGCTCCCCCCCTGCTCGGCCCGGCAGGCAGTCCCACAGTCATCCTGGCTCCTGGACACCCCTACTCCCCCCACCCCGGGGCCGGGGTTTCCAGCTGCCCCGCAACCTGCCGCTCCTCCCCCACAGCCTGGAACAGCCTCTTGCTTCCCTGACAAATCCCCACTGTCCCTCTGACAGCGGGCTCTGCCTCAGGCTTCCCTGCCCACAGCCCACCCCGAGTCCTGACCTTCCTCCCTCAGGGTCCTGGCACACAGGGCTGTACCCACTGAACGGACGCCCTCTGAGGCTGATGCTGCCACCGCCCAGAGCCTGGCGCATCCTAGGTGCCCAAGGCTCACTAGTCCATGCAGCCGGCTTCACCTCAATGCCATTTCCCGGAGGGATCAGGCCCTGCACCAGGACATGGAGCCCTGACATGGGAGCACCTAGCACAAGGCCTTCCCCCGCTCAGCCCAGGCCCAAGCCCAGGCCCTCCGCCCCGGCAGTCAGCTCTGTGAGGGCAGGAGACGCGCAGGCGCTGGCAAGGGACGTGGGAACCATTCTGCACAACACGGAGTCTGAAAGATAACTCCCGTTCCCGTCTGGACTGTAAGCTCCCATGCCATGGCTGCACACGCATGCACACACACACACACACACACACACACACACACTCCATCCCCATCTTTCCTTCCACCTGGTACCTGAATGAGGAGAAACCAAGGCTCCATATCAGACCCAACACGCTGGGGTGGGCTCACTGCCCGTGTCCAAAGCCCCTGGCCTCCCACCCAACAAACAGGGCATAAGAAGCTCAAGGGTGGGCCTGGGAAGCTGTCAAAGGAGAAAAAGAAAACCTCCCAGGTGCTCCTGACGCTCCACTGCCCCACATACCTGGTCAGCGGACACTGCAGAGGCAGCAAGAGGACCTGGGGGAGGGGCACACGTGGGAGATCCGGTGATCAAAGACAGGAGCCCCGCCACCAGAGAGCACACCTCTGCAGCACCCTTTGCACTGAAGCAGAGGGCCTGACTGACCCCCATGGCCCCCCAACACGGCCTTCCCTGCGGGCTGCAGCTGTGCGGAGCTCCCCCCGGGGAAGCGGCTGTGCCCCCCCCCCCAGAGCGTGCCCTAGGCAGGCGGGGGCCATGCAAGGCGGCCCCAAGGATCTCATGGACCTGCATCCCCACAAGCGCCCAGGCAGTAACCAGGGAGCCCCCATTCCTGTGCGGCCAGAGGACCACAGGCGCCCCCGGCCTGCAGCCCAGGGGAGCCTGGGGGAGGATTTCCTGTCAGGCCCAGAGAGCCTGATGGGAAAGGGCCTGCCTTGGCCACATGTGGGCTCTCTCTCCACCCACAGGATGAGGGTTCCCGGGCAAAGACCGGCAGCTGGACCCCACGGCCCCCAGCCACTGCCCGGCAGCCTCTCATAGGGGACCAGGCCTATCTGACTGCCCTTCCTCACACACCCCCTCTCCCCCCCCACCCCCCACTGCTCCGTGTGAAGGGGGTGGGTCCTCTCTTGAGCAATTTCTAAGCCTGTTTATCCTCTGGGACAGAAAAAAAAGAAAAGGAAAAAAAACCACAGCCCTGTCATGGCCAAACAATGAGGAACAGAAAGCCCCTGGCCGAGCAGGACAAAAGGTCACTCCCTGCACTGCAGGCCCCAGGGCAGAGGCGACAGGGCCGGAGCCGGGTCACCGCAGGGGCCGCACAGGCGGGCGGGGGTCCCTGGAGGCCCCCAGAACGTGGCGAGCAGCCTCTGGGAAGTGTGGGGCTATGGAAGCTTCCAGTGTCTTTGGCTGGTGTTGGGGAGGCTTCGAGCCACGCGCCCCCCCGCCCCCTCAGGGGAGTGCTGACTGACATTTTAAAATGAGGAACTAAGTGGAGAGTAGTTGACTCGCTCAGCATGTTTGGCAGATCCGAGCTTTCAAAACACAGGGCCCAGGAGGAAGCTTGGAAACTATGGATGGGCGTTCACCACCATGTGACAGGTGGGCAATGGGTGCCCAGTGAGGGTGGGGGATTGGAGAAGAGAGATGATGATAGATGATAGATAGCTAGATAGATAGATGACATAGATCGATAATAGATACAGAGATCCCAGATAGATTGGTTGACAGGGAATAACAAATAAAAGGAGGATAGGAAGGAAGGAGGAAAAGGACGAAAGGAAGGACCATCTAACATCCAATGTGTGAGGCAGGTCTGATTGTGCCCATTTCACAGATGCAGAAATGGAGATAGAAAGAAGCAAAGCCACCTCCTGCTCTCCCAAAGGCTCGGGGCCATTCAGGGTTGGTGGCGGGCTGATGGAGGACGTGCACAATAGGCTATCAGGGCCCACCCCTCACCCACCACAGGCCTCAGAGTTGCCTCCCATCAGGGCCTGTGGCCCGTTTCCTCTCTAGCGTTGGCCTGTCCGCTTGTCTGAGTTCATCCAGGAAGGAGGAGGAGGAGGAGGAGGTGGGCCTGGGATGTGACTCTTGCCCCGTCCCACGGGAGAAATCTTTGGTCCCCTCGGGACAGCTGAAGGAAGCGGCTCTGGGATCCACCCTCCGCCTTCGCCCCTGAGTCACTGCAGTGCCACCAGCCCCCGCCGTCTACGTCTGTGACAAGCGGACACTGGGCGCTGGCTCCTGAGAGGGCCCGTCCTCGGCCGGCAGCCCCGCAGCGGGAGCAAAGGCAGGAGTCTGACCCGCAGCCGTGCCAGGTGTTAGAAAGATGCCCGGGAGCCAGAAAGGGGGCAGAGGCCCAGGAGTGGGGGCGGAGGCCCAGAAGGGGGGCGGGATTGAGGTGCAGCACTCAGGGACCTTAGAGACATTTCAGCGACTTTCCATTTAATCGTGGAGAAAGTCAGGGGCAAAGGTGAAAACACATTCATTCATTCACTCATTCACTCGTTCATTCATTCATTCATGTGTGCTGAGCACCTGTTACTCTAGGTCACATGTGTCAAACACAAGGCCCGCGGGCCAAATCCGTCCCGCCAGGCCTTGCAATGTGGCCCGCACCGCGCTGTCATCACTGCACTCCGCTGCGTTTCCATCACAATGACAGTTTATGACTGTTCAGTAAACCATTCGGCCCGCGATTTAGGCTGGATTTTAGATTTTGGCCCCTTCTCTGATTGAGTTCGACACCCCTACTCTAGGTGCTGGGCAGACAGCATCCAGCACATCCACGTCCCTGCCCTGGAAGCTGAGCTCTGGTGGAGAGACGGAGACACACATGGCAGAAACATGTGAGGTGGCAGCGGGAGCCTGGCAAAAAGGAAAAGCAAGGTGGGGCCTGTTGGGTGCACTGGGTGCAGCCAGGAAGCCAGGGCATCGGGGCCAGAGCAGGCGAGGGCGAGGGTGCTGGGATACGAACACGGAGGCACGCAGCACCTCCTCCTGAAGCTGGCTCCACGCAGGCTCCGTGCAGCGTCATTCACGTGCCACCCTGTCTCTCCGAGTCCCCGTCCCAGCTCTGGGCCATGGGTATTACCACTGTTTCCAAGTCACAAGAGAAAACCGAGCCTCGGAGCGGCTCCTCACCTCCGGCCTAATTTCTTCCCCAGCATCAAGCTGACACCTGTGTGTCCCCCACCGCAGAAGACTGGATTTCAACCCGAGGCCCACCCCAGAGACCTCCCCTCCCCTCCGCAGACACCCCCTCTCTGGTGGGCACCGCCTGCCTCGGTGTTCTCGTCTGTAAAATGGCAGCAGCAGCCTGCCTGGTGCTCTCAGCCCTCTCCAGCTTCCGCTTCTCAAACATGGGTGTCAACACGCTCAACCCCTCCCGAGACCACAGGCGTGCGGGGTGGGAGGGCGGCCCACCCACAGGAGGGGGAAAAGCTGAATGAGCTGGAGGTGGGGGCTGGGGAAGGAGGCCAGGCTGAAAGTGTGTGTGGAGTTCGGCTTTCATGCCCCAGCCTCTGCCCCTCCTCCCCTCTCCCAGGACGAGGGCACCCTGGGCAGGCGGCCTGGGAGGAGAGAGCAGCGAAGGCCGCCCGCCCAGGTACACAAACAGCTGGCATCGCAGGAGCAGCACCCAGGCCAGAGGACCTGGCACACGTGCTGGGATGTGATCTGCTCCCTGCGCCTCGACACTGTTAACCCATGAGACGGTGCCAGGCGCTCTGCCCTGCCTCCTCCTGG